ATCCATTTTGAGTTGATGTTGGTGCATGGTGATAGGCTGGGGTCCACTTTTAGTTTTCTGCATGTGGCTGCCCAGTTTTCCCAGCACCAGCGGTTGAAGAGCCTGTGTTTCTTCCATTGTATGTCTTTGGCTCCTTTGTCGAATATCAGCTGGCTGTAGGCCTGTGGATTTATTTCTGGATCTTCTATTCTGTTTCATTGGTCCTCAGGTCTGTTTTTGTGCCACCACCATGCTGTCTTTGTTATTATAGCTCTGTAGTAGAGTTTGAAGTTCGGCATGGATAGCCCTCCCATATTGTCTTTATCCCCTAGAATTGTTTTGGCTATTCTAGGTCTTTTGTTGTGGCAGGAAGACTTTTAACTCGCCCTCCGAAGTCGCTCTTGCTCTGCATATGTGAGTGTGTGTGTGTGTGTGTGTGTGTGTGTGTGTGTGTGTGTGTATTCTATTTTGGGGTGGGGGGGCAGCTGCTGGTCTTAGGACTTGAACTCAGAGCGTGGGCTCCACTTCAAAGGCTAGTGCTCTACCATTTGAGCTACAACTCCACTTCCAGCTTTTTGCTGGTTAATTAGCAGTTAACAGCCTCACAGACTTTCCTGCCCAGTGCGACTTCAAACCATGACCCTCAGATCCAAGCCTCCTGAGTATCTAGGATTACAGATGCGTTCCACCAGCGCCCAACAGAAGGAAAAGATCCAAGATTTGCATATTTAAAAAAAAACTTAACATACATTGTGCTTGTTTTCATTCAAACTTCATTGATTTTTTTCTTAGGCACCTACTCCACCTACAAAAGAACTTACGCAGTTTGGTTAAGGTATGAAATAAAATCATACTAGTTATACAGCTCAATCCTCACCTTTAAGCTGTTAAAGAACAGAAGTGGGGCCAGGCCCCCGTGTAATGTGTATGTGTAATCCTAGCTACTGAGGAGGCTGAGATTTGAGGATCCTGCATCAAAGCCAGTATGAACAGGAAAAGTCTATAAGACTCAAATTAACCACCAAAAGGGCTGTGGCTCAAATAATAGAGCACCAGCCTCAAAGGAAAAAGCTAAGTAATAGCACTCAGGCTTTAAATTCAAGCCCCAGTAAGGACACACACAATAAAAGAAGTGAGGCCAGCTTGCAGTTAAGAATTCTTATCTTCAGCTGTGGGTGTGGTTCAAGTGGTAGAGTGCCTCAAACCTATTAGAAATGTCTTCTGATACTGGGGTATAAAGACACCAACTCAAAAGGAATTGGGCAAGGTAAGATTTTGCTTCTGCAGAAGCATGTGCTAACAGGAAGCCAACTAAGCAAGCACACTGGGCAGGCTATAAACCAGGTTTTAACTCTAATACCTTATTTCCCTTCATTCTGATTGCTCACAATTGGCTAGTTTGAAAAAGGTTAAAAGTTTACCTGAGCAATCAACCAAAACCAGGATACCTGGTTTTGGAATTTGCCAGAAAACAATTCTTATTCTACCACTTGAGACAGCCCTTAGAAAATTCTTACAACAGCCGGGCGCTGGTGGCTCATGCCTGTAATCCTAGCTACTCAGGAGGCTGAGATCTGAGGATCACGGTTCAAAGCCAGCCTGGGCAAGAATGTGAGACTTCTATCTCCAATAAACAACCAGAAAACCGGAAGTGGCACTATGTCTCAAGTGGTAGAGCGCTCGCCTTGAGCTGAAGAGCTGAGGGACAGCGCTCAGGCCCAGAGTTCAAGCCCCATGACTGACAAAAAAAAAAGAAAGAAAGAAAATTCTTACAACAGGATATAGCTTAACTAAAATAGCTTATTGTAAAATGGCAACTGCCCTTTAAATAGCTGTGCTTATGTCAAGCAACCACTTTGACAGAAAATATTCTAACCTCTACAAATCCTAGTACAGCCAAACATTTATTTCATATATACTGAAATATTACAGATGGAATAATACTGTGCTTAAGATCTGCTTCAAAGTAATGGCAAGAGGAAATGGGAATAGGAAGGAAATAAACGTTATATGCAGGTAATTGAGCAGGTGACAGTTACATAGGCACTTATTATAGTTCCTCTACTTTTGTTTAGGTTTGAAACTTTCATAATTACAAAACTGTAAACATTACATATCATTTGATGAGTTTTCAACACAGAGGAAATACGGGCTAGAAGTCCATAGCATTGGTAGTATCAGTCATGCTGACCAGTCAAGATTCTGTTCTGCCTATGCTCTTGTAACCCATGGTTATGTTTTGCTTCTGTAACCTTGCTTGCTTGCCTCAGTAGCAAGGCCGTAAGCCCACAGGTGACACCACCACTGTCCTCCAATTGAAGACCACCACTGAGTGGTCCCACTATGAGTGGCCTATTGCAAATTATTACATATGATATTTACCATAAAGAACAAATGAATTGAAAGGTCATATAACCATAACCAATGAAAATGTGCCAAACATGCCTTGCATGGCTTGTCTATGTAACTCTATGTAACCTACCCCTATAAAAGTCCATCCCACCCTGAGCTCAAGGCTGTTCTTCCACTTTCTTGGTAGTAGGAAGTGGACCCCATGCATGCAGCTGTAATAAAGTTCCTAGCTCCTTTAACTGGGTGTCTTGGAGTCTTTTTTGGATCTGGGATATTATAGGTCAACAGAACTATTAGCAGAGTTCAAGTCAATGGTGACCACGAGAGAAGCATCTTGATGGAGACCTGAAGGATAAGACAGAGCCAGCCCGATTAGGGGTAAAGGAGAGAGGGGAGCATTCCCAGAGACTAGAAGTTAGGCAAGTCTGATTTGTCTAATGAAGTGAACAAGGTTCTTACACGTATGGCCCAGTGATTGCGATGAAGTTGGATAGTAGTCATGGGCCAGACTATATAGGGCCTTCTAGACTCAGGCTGGATTTTATTTGAAGTACCTTAGAAGTCACTAGAATGTTTTAAGCAAGAGAGTAATGTGATCCAATTATACTTTGCAACTGGCTGGATGCTATATGAATAGAAGATAGGAAGGGAGCAAAAAGAAAAGTAGAAACAGCTAGTAACTCTTCAAGTATCCAGTCAGAGAACTATGGGAGCTTTGACTAGGACAGTCACAGATGAAGTAAAAATATTTGATATACATTTTGGTAATAACATAGAACTTGTTGAAGTACTGAATTGAAGGATACAAGAAATGCAAAAATCACAGATAATTATCAGACTTCTGGCCCAAGCAACATATCAGGATGGATCCTGAGCTGGATCTGACTGGAAGAAGCAAGGAAATAGGAGTTTGGCTTGTCAGATGTTAAATTTAAAGGTCATAACATATTCAAGGGCAATTGTCAACGAGAAATGTGCATATAGAAATAGAACTCAGTGACAAGCCCCTGAGTGAATGCATACATTTGAGAGTATAGATAGTATTTGAAATAATAAGAACAGATGATCTGATTTACGACAAGAATGTAGAAAGTGAAAATATTATTTCGTGGGGAGTCCTGGAGACATTTTAGAATATATGTAAAGGGAGGGCCCCAGAAAAATAGAGGAAATGAGTAGATAGAGAAATTGGAAGAAAATAAGAGAAGATTGATGATGCTGAATGCAAGAGAAGAGACTATT